ATCATGCATTTTCAGCCCAGATGTCTACTGTGGCTATATTTGAAAAAAAAAAAAAATCTTTTTAAATGAGATTTGTCTAGGTGTTGGTCTCTTCATATACATTTCTTTTTCTGAGCACCTGATGGTCTTCTTTAATTTAAATACTCAAAATTATCTTCAATTTAAGCAAGTTTTCTTCTATTACTGTTTCTGTTCAGTTTGTTCTGATTTCTTCATGAGAAACATTGATTATGTGTTGGCTCTGTATGTGCCATTCATCTTTTTTCCCTCATCCGTTTTGGGCTTTGCCCTTCATTGATGCCTTCTGGGAGAGACTCTCAAGAGACTGTCATATCACTGATGCCCTTTCTGTAGTGGTGCTTGTGCTCTATACTCCTTTTGAAGGCTTTTAATTCTGTGATTGTACTTTTTAGAGTTTATTTTAAATGTCTTATTGACTGTGGTAGACCCCACAAAGATGTTCACATCCTAATCCTTGAAGCCTATGAATATGTTACCTTACATGGTAAAAGGGACTCTGCAGAGTGATTAAGTTAAGGATCTTGCAGTAGAGAGATTTATCTTGGACTGTCCAGGCGGGTGCAATGTAATCACAGAGTCCTTGTCAGATGGAGGCAGGAAGAGCAAAGTGAGGAGATGGCAATGTGATGAGAGAAGCAGAGATTGGAGCAATGTAGCCATGAGCCAAAGAATGCTGGCAGCCCCTAGAAGCTGAAAGAGGCAAGGGATGGATTTGCACCAGAGCCCCCAGAAGGAAGCAGCCTGGCTGACAGCTTGATTTTAGTCCCTTAACATTCATTCTGGACTTCTGACCTGTAGAACAGTAATAGTACATTTGTGTTGTTTAAGCCACTAAGTTGGTGGCAATTTGTTATAGCAGCAAGAGAAAGCAAATACACTTGACTTTCTAAGTTTCTATTTTTGCAAGCTTTAAAAAACTCCCTTATCATCTTTTCTCATCTTTGATCTCTTAGTTAATATGCTCTGTACTTCCCTCTATTTTGTTGAGGGTACAAGCAGATGAGTGATAAATATTTTAGTTTTCTTTAGTAGGTATCTGTCAATAGAATAGTTTCTTTTTCTCTTGAGTATTATAGTCTTCAACTTTTTAATAGGGTAGAGTATTTTCTCCACACATTGTTCAAGTAAAAATTTCTATTGTTTACCTATGAGCATGTCATGTAGTCCTGGCATTTGTCCATCTTTAGTGAGTTTGGTTGTCCAACTGGTTGTTGCTGGAATCCTCAGCTCTGCTCTTATACTCAGAGCTGACCAGCATGGAGCAAATTTTTGATATTTTGTGGGCTTTGTTGATCTTTCTGTTTTGTCTTTTTTTTTTTTTTGAGGCATGGAATTTATTTTTATTTTAGTCTTTTGAAGCAGGGTCTTGCTTTGTCACCCAGCCTGGAGTACAGTGGCACAATTAGAGCTCACTGCAGCCTCTAACTCCTGGGCTCAAGTGATCCTCCTGCCCCAGCCTCCTGAGTAGCTGGGACTATAGGTACATGCCACCATGGCTGACTTTTTTAACTTTTTGTAGAGATGGGATCTTGTTATATTACGCAGGTGGTCTCAAACTCCTGGGCTCAAGCAGTCCTTCTGCCTTGGCCTCCCAAAGTGCTGGGATTATAGGTATGAACCACCATGCCTGGCTGCATGGAATTTATTTTGATAGTTTCAGCAGTATTTGCTTTTTGTCCTAGGCAGACATAGTCAACGCAACACACATATACACAGCCAACTATTAAGCATTATATATCCATGACTATTCCAAGCTTGCTCTGCTAGCTACTAACTTTATATCCCTAGTCACTTTCCTTTGCCGGGAATTGTTGTTTTGGAATAAATGTAGGAAAAGTGATGTGTTTGGGGACTGCAGGAGATGAACCAACCCTGATCACCTTATAAAGTAGCTTTGTGAACCAAGTTGGGGTGGTGGTGGCGGGGCTTCCTCCTCTGGTAGGTCTGTGAGCCCATGTCCTCATGGCAGAGGCAAAGCAGAGATGAAGGAATAGAGACTGTCCCCTCCACAGCCCTGCCCTGCTCACCGTGCATGGCATTCCTCTTGGGCTTCACGACTTGGACTTCACTGAAGCTTTGGTTAGTGATAATTCCTCTTGGTTTCTGGCACATAGTTGTGCAGCATTCCTTGTTTTTACTGTTTTTGAAGGTTGGTTCTAATAATTGTTATTTCTTAAGCATTTCAATAGGAGTTGCTAGCTTTTGCCTTAGAAGTACAAAATTAGTGAGCTGAAACCACCATTGCAAAATTATAACTGAGACAGTGAAAGAAATCTGACCTAACCAACTCCACCTTGTGTCTAACCTATAAGCTATCTTTGTTCATTCCTAGGCACAGGCCCAATTAACTTTGGGAGGAACTTAGTTTATGGTTTACCTTTGAAACAAAAACAATAGCAGACCTTTCCTGAAACAAACCCCCTTCTTGCCTGGAGACTAGACTGCATTTGTAGGACTAACAAATTAGTCAAAAGGTTATAAATTATGATTTAGGAGTCATGCAGCTGGAGGCTACAAGATTCTGACTACTCCCAAATTGCTCCTGGAGGTAATGTCACTATTGTAAAACCTAAGATTAGTGCTTGAGATATTTTGCAGACCCTGTACTTGATGGATCAGCGGGCACCACCCAGGTGGCTAAACTCATCTGATCTTATGGCCCCCACCCAGGAACTGACTCAGCACAGGAGGACAGCTTCAACTCCTTAGGATTTCATCTTCAACCCAACCCATCGGCACTCCTGACTCACTGGCCCCTACTCAACCAAACTATCCTTAAAAATTCTGATGCCCGAATTCTCGGAGAGACTGATTTGAGTGATACTAAAACTCTGGTCTCTTGCACAGCCGGTTTTGTGTGAATTACTCTTTCTCTATTGCAATTCCCCTCTCTTGATAAATCGGCTCTGTCTAGGCAGTGGGCAAGGTAAACGCATTGGGTGGTTACAAGTTTTTTCTTCTTCTTTTTAATTTTCTTCAGCATAGCTATACACACGCTAACACTGTCAATGGATCAAAACATATTTGCTTTACTGGGCTCACTTAGACTTGAAAAGCCCAGTTAACAGTGTAGCTCCCAAGGAGGCACATGCACTTCATGTCTGTGACCCCTGGCATTCAAGGCCTGCAACATCTGTTGATTTGACAAGCTAAGGCAGTAGTTTTCCAACTGTTGCTCAACAGAATCCTCAGGCTTTATGCTGCTGTGTCCCCTTAAAGACTGTTTAGGGTGGGATTGAGTGTGTGAGGCCCTGAGCTTTGTATATCTCATGTTAGCCAGAACAGCTCAGTTTTTCTTTTAAACATTTATTTATTTATTTATTTATTTTTGAGATGGAGTCTTACTCTGTTGCTCAGGCTGGAGTACAGTGGTGCAATCTCAGCTCACTGCAACCTCCACTTCCCACGTTCAAGTGTTTCTCCTGCCTCAGCCTCCCAAGTAGCTGGGACTACAGGAGCCCGCCACCATGCCTGGCTAAGTTTTGTATTTTTAGCAGAGATGAGGTTTTGCCAAGTTGGCCAGGCTGGTCTCAAACTTCTGACCTCAGGTGATCCGCTCACCTTGGCCTCCCAAAGTGCTGGGATTACCACGCCCACCATGCCCAGCCCTGAACTTTTAATTTTTCAATAATTCTGGGTTTACAGAAGAGTTCCAAAGATAATACAAAGATTTCCCACATACCCTTTGCCCAGTTTGTCCCATTATTAACATATGATGGTGTCAGGCATCTGAGCCCAAGCTAAGCCATCATATCCCCTGTGACCTTCAGATATACATCCAGATGGCCTGAAGCAACTGAAGAACCACAAAAGATGACATTCTACCATTGTGATCTGTTCCTGCCCCACCCTAGCTGATCAATTGACCTTATGACAATACTCCCTCCCATCCTTGCAATAACGTACTTTGTGATACTCCCCGCCCTGAAGAAGGTACTTTGCAGGCTGGGCGCGGAAGCTCACCCCTGTAATCCTAGCATTTTGGGAGGCTGAGGCCGGCGGATCACGAGGTCAGGAGATCAAGAGCATCCTGGCTAACACAGCGAAACCCTGTCTCTACTAAAAATACAAAAAAATTTAGCCAGGCGTGGTGGCGGGCGCCTGTAGTCCCAGCTACTCAGGAGGCTGAGGCAGGAGAACGGCGTGAACCTGGGAGGTGAAGCTTGCAATGAGCCAAGATCAGGCCACTGCACTCCAGCCTGGGCGAGAGAGCTAGACTTTGTCTCAAAAAAAAAAAAAAAAAAAAGAGAATGTACTTTGTGAGATCCACCCCCTGCCCATGAAATATTGCTCCTAACTCCACCGCCTATCCCAAACCTATAAGAACTAATGATAATCCCACCACCCTTTGCTGACTCTCTTTTAGGACTCAGCCCACCTGCACCCAGGTGAAATAAACAGCCTTGTTGCTCACACAAAGCCTGTTGGTGGACTCTCTTCATACAGACACGCATGACAGACAGAACCATGGTACCTTCATGAAAACTAAAACGTTAACTTACTCTTAAATATTAAACGAAAATATTATTAGTTAACAGACTTAATTGGATTCCACTGATTTTTTTCCCATGAATGTGCATTTTTGAGTGGCTCAGTTATCTGTTTTGCCAGTTGTGCCCCATGTGAGGTTTTGTTTAGACAAAGAGTTGAATAGCTGCGTCTCTTCCCAGGTTTTCCTTACCTCCCCTAGTATATGCTCAACTACTGCTGTGTGGCCCTCGGGGAAAGGTACAACTGCAGCCTCTCTTCCCGTCATCTCAACATGCTTTCACATCTATTACTTCCTAAGCTCTCTATTATCCTTATGTGGTCAAGGGAAATTGAACAGATTTAAAAAACATTTTTGCTTTACAGATTGAGAAACTGAGGCACAGAGAGGTTGACTGACTTGTAGGTAAGAGTGAAATGGAAGCGAGTGTCCTCGCTCTCGGTTGACATTCTTATTCTCTCCACAAAGTCTCTAGGTGAGCAAAACATACCAGAGAGAGAGAAGCTGATCAGCCTTCGACTTCCTTGTCCTTGTACAGTCTCATCAGCGCCGATGCTTTTAAAAATCTGTAACAAGAAGGAAAATGGGAGACAAGCAAAACAAGCACTGAAATGGATATTCACACTTCAACACAAGCATGCTTATTCACAGTTATTTTACCAGCTACAGGCAACGAAGACAGTGATTTCACTGGGTAACTATTGATTAAGACAAGCTTCTAGCAAGCTAATGTTTTTCCCAGTAGTAGAGGATCTGCTAGTGGGGGTGATGGGTACTTTTCAGGAAAATGGAAATCAACAAACATAATTACTGTAATAGAAAAGACCCTTTGTAACTACTTATGCAAACAATGTCTTTTCACATTCAAATTTTCAAAAAGTATTTATTAAAGCAGGGCCTAAGGCACTAGAATGATAGGTCAATAGATGTTTACTATTGTAATTATAATGTATTTCCATTTAGCAAAGTAGAGTGTTGAACTGCTGCATCTCCACTTATTATTATTTAGGGATTTCCAGGAAACTGCTGGGGAGGAGCCTGAATGTGGCATTAAGCAGCTCTTCTGAGCTCTCTCTTAATTAATCAGTTGCCTTCCTGGGAAATTTCAGAACACAATTGCTATATGGATTATCTGGAGTCTAGTAGGTATTTGAAAACAATGTTGCTAAAATGTTTTGTTTTTTATTATTGCTCAATATTTAGTAATAGGTTAATCAAAATAGCTAGAGTTTTTGCTCCCATTCTTTTCTAGGAAGGTTTTATTCAGAAATGATTTTGGGTATTTGAAGGTACTTCCTATTTACCTTTGCATGTGTTGTATGTTTGCAGAAAATAATTTTAAAACTCTGGGTATTAAGCAAATCCACAGTGTCCATTTTTTAGAAGATAATCTGTACTAGGAAGAGAAAAATGAAAATATCCAATATCCGTATTCTTGTTTCAGAGTCTCATTATTGTAAGGCTTGTGTGGGTTCAGCTTTTTCTTTCCTCTTAGTATATCTGTGCTGTATACCGGTTGTCGATTGGATAGTTCCAGCCATCCAACAGGTTACCTGCCCTGATATGAGACGCAGGAGTAAATGACTGAGCATCCCGCAGGGCTCCACACTTCAGCCAAAGTGGAGTAAAAGGGATTATTATTCATCCTTTTCCCACTGGGGAAGGCAGGTGGCCCTGGTGACGCTGTGAGCGTTGGCCCTGCAGCTTGTGGACAAATCTTGGTGTTGATGCCCTGAGGGCCCAACCTGTGATGTTCATTTCAGGGGATCGGTCTGGGGCTGTTCAGCCAGAGGAGCCCAACCCATAGCGACATATGGAAATGGCCAGGCCCTGAACCAGGCCAGATAACGAGACCGTAACTCTTCGACACATATCTGTTCGCTTAAGAGTCCTCAATTTGATAAGAGAAGTAACAGAAATGGCGCGATTTGGGTGAGTCCCCCAAAAGTTCTGTTTTTGTTTTTTCTTTCCCCTCATCAGGCTACTAGAGACATGTATGAACAACTGAACTTTACATTTGTCTTAAGCGTCCTTTGCAAAAATTATGACCTGAGACCGTGAAAAGATCTAACTTAAGCTGCATCAATCTGCTTCCTAGCTAACCTCGCAAAGCTGTCGCTTGTTCCATTCCTGGCATAGGCTGAACTAAACTTCCAGGAGAAACGTAAGTTTATAGTATATACGTTTAAACAGAAGATGGTAAGAGTCCTTCTCCCAAAAGGTCGAGCCGTCCCTTTCATGCCAGGAACAGCATTGGCCTTTGTAGGCGACTAACATTAGCTACAAGCGTTAAGAAATTATGGTTTAGGAGTCATGGCAACTGGAGGGCGCTACAAATGCCTCTGCCCGCCCCTCCTAAACTGCTCGGGACGATCAGTGTTTGCAGCTATTTTCACCAGAGCCCCTGCACTCTGATGGATCAGTTTGGGCCCACCACAAGATCAACAAACTCGGCTTGTCGTGATCTTGTGCCCCCTCACACCCCAGGAACTGACCTCCCCTGCCAGAAGAGCGGCTCCCGACCTCCTCTACGATTTCATCCTCTGACCAATCAGCATTCACCCTGGCTTCACCTAGCTCCAACCTCCCAGCCCCCTTAACCCCACCTCTCCACCAAGTTATCCTATAAAAACTGTTTCCTGAAATGCTCAGGGAGCAGGAT